TCCTTCCAATGATTGTTCAAGAGGGGGGAGGAGCCAAGTGGCCGAGGAGGGAGAGAGAGTACACGGCATCGTGGGGGTTGGGCAGGGAGGATTGGCTGAATTAAGCCAATAGATAAGCATCTTGTGATGCCGGCGCGAGGGCGAGGGCAAGAGGAGTGACTGTGCGTGTGATGAGTGGTGGAAACGGGGGGGGAGGGGGGAACGTGGGGCAGGGGAGTGTAGGAAAGGGTGGGAAAAATATTTTTTGCTATACTGAAACACTGTTGTACATCAAATATCTTGGTGATGGTGGTGTATAAAGCTGGAAGACTGGAAAAATGGATATGACTGTATTCTATAAGGCAGCTAAAGTTTAACATGGTTAATTAATCCTTCCAATGATTGCTCAATTTGAATACATCCTCTCTGTTGAAGTTATGTCTATGTTTGTGTATCTGGATGGCTTCATGGACAAATCTTTGGTAGTAACCAGGAGGCTTGCAGAGTACTTTGGTATCGGAGAACACAATATCACGAGAGCCCGCAGTGTTATAATAGTGATCAGCCATGGCCCAAGAATTCGTTCTGCCGTGTTTCAAATCTGACTTGTGCTCACGAATTCGGTCAGATATATGTCGTTTCGTTTCCCCGATATATCAATCACCACAGGTGCAACTCAGTTTGTAGACACCAGGGTACTGTAAGTCAGAAATGACATGCTTTATGGATGGGATCAGATCACGGATTTTGTGTACTGTACTGAATTGGACCTGGATCTTGTGTTTGTTTAAAATTTTGGAAAAATTTTTGGTAACGCCTGCTATGTATGGCAACGTAATGATTTTGATCGGAGTCTCTGGGGGTTGTTTCTCCCCGGTAGGAGCAACAGCTTGGCGGATAGTAAGGTCTGAATATCCGTTCATCTTGAGGGTCAGATGTACCTGTCTTAATTCCCTGGCCAGGTGGTGTTGGTCAGAGATGCAGTGGGCCCTATGGTATAGTGTTCTGATGAGGGAATTCTTTTGTGCTGGATGGTGGTGGGAATCAGGCTTCAGGTAGGAATCTGTGTGGGTGGCCTTCCTGTAAACGGAATGTCCCAAAGAGCCATTGGGTCTCCACTCAAACAGAACATCCAAGAATGGAAGCTTGCCATCCTTCTCCACTTCCATGGTGAATTTGATGGATGAGTGTATGGAATTGATGTGGTCTAGAAATTGGATCAATGCTGGGAGGACATGTGACCAAATGATGAAAGTGTCATCCACATATCTCTTCCACAGGGAAGGACGCAGGGTGGATGTCTGGATGGCGTCTGTTTCAAATTTCTCCATGAAAAAATTGGCTATCACTGGTGACAAGGGGGAACCCATAGGGGTACCCTCATTTTGTTTGTAGAAGGTACCATTCCAAGTGAAGTACGTGTTGGTGAGGCAGTGCCTAACCAGCGTAGGGACATCCGGGTTCAGTCCATGTTGAAAGGTACTACCCATCGCTTTCACACTCACATCTGCTGCTGTCTCTTCACCGAACGCTAAACGGATTTTGTTTAAAGCTAGCCTATCACTAATCTCAGATAGAATAAGATTGCTCCGATTTAAACTCAATAATTTAGACAAGATTCTCTTACAATCACATTTAACGTTAACACAAAAAATGTCTTCTTCCGATTGGGACCGTGTTGATAACATGACAGCCTCCTCTGCTAATTCATTGTCAACCAAATGTAAAGCTAACTTGATCGCTAAATTCAACCTCCTATCAAAGAAGAAGCCAGAACCACGCATTACAAAGCTAGATGTCAACAAGATCGTTATTAACCAGAGCAACATCCCATTTTCTGACAATCTGAAAACGGTACTAGCTAAAGGGCTGAATTTCACTGTTACCCCTAAACATATCCCAGTAGAGGATATGATCTCCCAGGTCGATGTAGCCCTCAAAGGCATAGGACACATCCAAGCGGACGTTGCGAGAGCTGAAATAGCCACTAGTCTCAAGAATGCTAAGAAACCCATCAGCAACATTAGCAAAAACGAACGCTCTGAACTCGAAAATACAACAACAAAATCCAGGACCTACTCAATGATGGCATTTACTCCAAAATCAAAAGGGATCCGGCTAACAGCTACAAAAACCAACAAGATCATCACTAGTTCGACTTCCCTAATCTAACCAATCAAACAGCTCTCCCTAAAACCCTCGGCTGCGAGACCTCCCATATTCTATGGTCTTCCCAAGATCCATAAAGAAGGTATCCCACTACGGCCCATCGTGTCCACGATCAACTCACCTACCTACAAGCTAGCCCGTTTTCTATCAGATACTCTGCTTCCCTTCACTGGCAAGACCACCTCAGCAGTACTTAACTCAATTCACTTTGTCTCTCTAGTCAAGGACATTGTACTGTCTCCTGACGATGTCCTTGTCAGCTTCGATGTGGTCTCTCTGTACACCAAGGTTCCAGTGCCTGACACCATAACAATAATTGAAGATTTAGTCCAACATGGAATGAACCGGGATGTCCCTGCGCTAGTTAGGCACTGCCTCACCAACACGTAATTCACCTGGAATGGTACCTTCTACAAACAAAATGAGGGTACCCCTGTGGGTTCTCCCTTGTCACCAGTGATAGCCAATGTTTGTGTTTCAATAGCGTTAAAAATTGTTCCCCCCCCCCTTCCTACTCTCCCCCGCCCCCCCCGTCCCCCCCCTCCCCCCCGTTTCCACCACCCATCACACGTACAGTCACTCCTATTGCCCTCGCCCTTGGCATCACAAGCTGCTCATCTATCGGCTTAATTCAGTCAATCCTCCCTGCCCAACCCCCCACGATGCCGCATACTCTATCTCCCTCCTCGGCCACTTGGCTCTTCCCCCCTCTAGTATCCCATATAAACATACGTCTCAGAAATAGCTCTCTTCATACGCTACAGTAATTTTGCTGGAGCAGCTACCTGATGACGAAGGCTTGTGTTGCCTTCGAAACGTCGTGATTTAATTTAGTTGTTTTCATTTTTGTTTTATTTTATTTAAGAATGTATTTATATTTTTTCCTACGTGACTTTACCGAAAGCTACTGAAGCTCCGTGCCCCTGAAGAGCACTCTGAACAAAGCGCTCTACACGTGCTGTGTCAAGGCACTGCATTCCCGGGACCTGGCCAGCCTACTGGACACAAAATGGAGAGACTATTTCTCTCCCCTCATTGCGGCCACCCCCCAGTGGAAACAAATGTACAAGTCTCCCATAGCCAAACGGTGCGGTGACCTCCAGTGGAGATTCACACACTGCACGTTGCCATTGGCCATGTGGCTCAGCCGATTCTCGCCGGGGGTAACAGACTTGTGCATTTCCTGCGGTGTCAGGGAGGATCTGCCCCACCAGTACTTACGCTGCCAGCGGCTCAAACCAATGTTCCGCCTTTTGGGCAACATCTTCAGGAAACTAGGGGTGCCCTTCTACAACAGCAGCTTCAGATATCGGGTGCCTTACCTGGCTAACAAGTACCATGACCTCGCCAACTTCGCCTGTGCTCAGGCGAAGATGGCGGTATACAGAACGAGGAAAAATATGCTGGAAGGTGACACTGATGGCTGCTCTGTGCTTCTAGTGTTCAGGGGCCTGCTCAAGGTGCGGCTACAGCTGGAGCACGCATTCCGCACGCATGCCGGTGATATGCACGTCTTCTTCGAACGCTGGGGAGCCGGAAAAGCCCTCTGTACCAGCGTGGACGGCACCCTCATGTTCACCTTCTGAAGCACTCGCTCGTTGCCGTGGCATGCGCGATGACCACCACCACGTAACTTTTCTTTCGTCTTGTGCGCAGTGCATTTAGTGCCACTATAACGCTGTGGGCTCTCACGATATTATTTTTCCGAGACCAAAGTGCTCTGCAAACCGTCTGGCTACTATCAAAGGTTTGTTCATGAAGCCATCCAGATATATAAACATAGACATAACTTCAACCGAGAAGATGGATACAAATTGAACAATAATTGGAAAGATTCTAGATTTGAAGCTTTCGTGACTGCAAGGATTCATACTCTTTGGTTTTTTCGGTAAAGTCACGTAGGTAAAATAAAATAAAACAACTAAATTAAATCACGACGTTTCGGAGGCAACACAAGCTTCCTTCTTCAGGTGGAACAGTCACAGCAGAATAGCTGTGTCAAGTGGAGAGCTCTGAGACAACCGGGATTATATACAGGTTAAGGGGGGGGGGGAGCCAGAAAGGGACGTGGGTGGGGGGGAGGGCTGAGTTAAGCCGCCTTTTGTTATGCTGCAGGGGGTTCGGGGGGAGGGGTGGTGCACTGCATTGGAAAGATGTTATTAACCAGGTAAAAATGTAACTGTTCATAGTTGTTCCATCTTATTTACCAGGTACTAGTCAATTCTACGAGTTAATTGCATCCCCGGCGTTTAGCAGTGCTGCTATTTTGCTTTGGGCTCCCCCATCGGCTTTGGCTACAGTCGTGTTGCTGCTTTGTTCCCTCTCCCCCCTGCGCATCTCCAGCTCCCTCTGCCTCTCACTTCTAGCCTCGCCCACTTCCCCACGCCCAATCTCACGTTCCAGTCCTTAACGTCCAAGCAACGCTCCCCTTCCCCTATTCCCCCCTCCCTTCCCCCAGCCCTCTCTGACCTATATAACCTACTTAACCTCGGCATCTCTCCCACTTCAGCAAAACATTACTTGCTGTGGTTTTCACACCTGATGATGATTGCTTGTGTCGCAATCGAAACGTCGTGATTTAAATTATTTTATTTTATACCTATGTGACTTTACCGAAAGAACCAAAGAGTATGGATCCCTGCAGTCACGAAAACTTCAAATCTAGATTGTATTTATAGCGTTTGTTATTTGTTTACTGGTGAATTTGTGTATTTCATATCGGAATTGCCTCCAGTGATGTTGCTGCTGGTGGCAATAAAAGGTCTTTTAAAAAGTCAAAAGTCTAACTCTCTAACTGTCTCTCTAACTCTCTCTGAAACTCTATCTCGCACACCCCTCTCCGCGTAACTCACAAAGCGCAGCATGAGGCCCTGGCAGGCGTGGTGCTTGAGCAGGCTCAGCAGGTACTTGAGGCCTCCACAGTCCACGAAGGTCGTCTCTGTAACCAGAGAGAGAGGAGAATCAGACTCAGAGGTCACTCCACTCTACCCGATACATGCACCGTGGTACCCCTACACACACCACGTACACAGACACACACCACGTACACATACCATGTACACACACACACCATGTACACACACACACCATGTACACACACACCATGTACACACACCATGTACACACACACCATGTACACACACACCATGTACACACACACGATATATACACACACCATGTACACACACACACCATGTGTACACACACACCATATACACACACCATGTACACACACACCATGTGTACACATACACCCCGTGTACTCTCGCCTCCACGTCGTCACCGCTTGCTGCTGTCCCACCCCTCACCGCTGCTGTCTCACCAACCTCACCACCACCCTCACCACCACCACCTTCACCACCACCTCCCCCTCCACCGTCTCACAGCGCTCGACGACTCTCTGTGTCTGGGCGCTCCTCAACCCCTCACCACCGACCCCTCACCTCCACCTCTCACTAGAGAGTGAACCTCAATGGGTTTCACGGGGTTAATGAAGGGCTCCGTATAGTGAATCTCAATGGCTCTCACACAGGGTTAAATAAAGGTTTCACTCACTAAAGGTAGTGAATCGCAATCGCTCTGAAATGATTAAATAAAGGAGTCATTCAATATGGATAGTAAATCTCAATGGCCCCTATCAGTAGAGCGTGAATCTCAACAACTCTCGCATGGTTAAATACATGAATCATTCACTACAGATAGTGACTCTCAATGGCTCCCACCTCGTTAAATAAAGGAATCACTCAATAGAGACAGTTAATTTAAATCACTCCCACCTGGTTAAACAATTAATCAATTCACTAGAAATTACCTCAGGGGCTCCAAGTTAGTAAAATGAGACTACTCTGGGTATAGTGAATCTCAATGTTTCCCTCTGGTCAAACAAAGGAGACCCCTCTCAGTGGAGACAGTGAATGTCCCCCACTGGCTGAGTGGCCACGAAGCGGACTCCGTCTCCCCCTCGCCCCCGCGTGTGAGGAGTGACCGCGCTGCTGCTGCTGAGCGCGGCTGCCGATTGCTTCCCAGCAGCAGCACCAGCAGCGCCTCCTCCTGCTGCTGCTCCTCTCTCAGCTCGCAGCCTCTGCACAGCGCCTGCTCCCTGGCCACGCCAGCCCGGCACGCGGCTGCTGCTGCTGGCGGTGGTGGTGTTCGGCAAAATAACCCCCAACCTCCTCGTGGTGCCAAACGGGCAACGCTGTCGTGGACAGTGCTGTGGGGGGGAGGGCCAATTCCGATTGGACTTTCCCCTCATGGCGTTTGTAACCACCACAGCGGCCAAATGGGGACTGGTAACCCCTCCACCTTCAATTAATTACCACAAAACCAGGTAAAAAATATCTAATTAATAAGCTTGTGCCAGGGGCCCCGGGGGGACGGGCACCTATGATGTCTCCTGGCCAAACCCCATTTGGCGGAGCCAGGAGATTTAATTTTTACCCTCGGGGCTCCTCCAGAAACAACAAAAAGCCACTATGGATGGCCACGTGGAATGTTCGAATGCTCACTGCAGAGGAGAGGCTGACACTCCTCTGTCGGGAGCTGGACCGGTACCGCCTGGATCTCTGTGGTATTCAGGAGGTCCTGTGGACCTGCTCTGGCTCCTGCCACCATGAGGGGTGGACAGTCATCTACTCGGGGCAGGAGACTGCCAAACAACAGGGTGTGGCTCTTCTTTTGAACAAAAGAATGAAGGGGGTGTGGGAGCGTGGCGGTGAGGTGTGGGAAGCTGTAAGCCCCAGGCTACTTTGGGCTCGCCTTCCTATCAGCCAGAGGCGAGGAGTGGTGGTCGTGGTTACTTATGCCCCCACCGAAGACTAACATCCGTGGAGGGATGCAGGCAAAGCCGATGAGTCAGATGCCTTCCATGACCTCCTGTCACAGGTGCTGGCTAAAGTGGCCCCTCGGGATAGAGTCATCCTGTTGGGCGACTTCAATGCCCGAGTTGGTCATGATGCTGGCACCTGGTCTGGAGTGATTGGAAGGCATGGGCCAGATCAGCTCAATAACAACGGTAGGAGGCTGCTAGAGTTTTGTGCATGCCATGGGCTTGTAATTACCAACAGGCTGTTCCGGTATTAGTGCATCCACACAACATCATGGATGCATGCCGGGTCAAAGCAAGAACATCTTCTGGACTATGTAGTGGCGGAACAATGGATGTGGGCCCATGTCTTTGACACCAGGACTTACCGTGGAGCTGATCTGCCCTCTGACCATCGACTTGTCATCTGTATGATGCGCCTGCCATTTTTCCACTCCGGTGGTGGGTGTACACCCAGGACCCTATTCAAACCTAAGGTGGCCTGGTCTCAGCGAGAATTTAATCATCTCTTGCTGCTGGGGTTGGCATCGTTTCCCACTCCTCCACATGTCGAGGGTAAATGGGCAAGGTTTAGGACTGTGACTCACGCAGCTGCAATGACTGCTTTGGGTACGCAGTCCAGACCTCCCCAGAGACCCTGGGTGACAGAGGAGGTGTTCAGGATGGCTCAGAAAACGCGACAGGCCCACTATCATCTTCTACAGCATCCCATGTCAGAGAATGAGGCTTACCGCAGCCTTCACTTGGAGGTTCGGAGAGTCGTGAGGCGCTGCAAGGATGGGTGGTGGTCGTAGGTTGCTGAGGAGATGGAGTCTACTCCAATGGCCCGCGATCACGAATCACTATTTAACTCCATAAAAAAGTACCTGTAGTGCCACACCTATTACCATCATTAGACGAAAAAACGGTGATCCAACCTCTGACCCCCAGGAACAGGTTTGAAGATTTGCTGATCATTTCTGCGAAGTCCTGGGGGAGCGGAAATCCCTCGACATGAAAAACTTTGTGGGACAAAGTGGGGATGACCCTGCTGAGGCAGTGGTGCCTCAAATATTGGAGGAAGAAGTCACTCCCTGTGAGTGGCTGGCTGAGGTGCCATCTGTTGAGAACATACTAAAGGCGATCAAGAGTTTGAGACCAGGAAAGGCACCGGGCAGAGATGAATTCCCAGTCGAGCGACATTATCTTTTCATCGGTTGCGTAACACTGTGTGGAAGCTACCTGGTCTGTCGCTCTGCACGAAGCTTCAGGTCTTCTCAGCCACAATCATTCCCTCCCTTCTCTACGCTTGCGAAACGTGGACCCCCCTAAAGAAGCATCTTCGATGGTTGGAAACATTTAAGCTGGCCTGCCTACGATCCATCCTGGGTTTAACCAGGCTAGATTGTGTGAGGAACTCAGAAATCCTTGAAAGATCTGGACAAAGTTCCATCGGTGAGCTCCTCCGGCAGGCAAGGCTGCATTGGCTGGGTCATGTAGCCCGCATGCTCAGTCACCTAAATGGCTGTTGTTCGGCCGGATAAAGGGGGCTAAATGGGCGCAGCACAGGCTAGAGAAGAGATGGAGTGGTGTGGTACAGGAGGATGTGGAGTTGAGTGGACTTGCCGATGACTGGTACTAGCGGTGTCAAGATCTTCCTCTATGGGCAGTTGGAGGCAGTCGCCCTCCAACAACAATGGAGGGCAGAGGAGGGACGCTCACAACAATGAGCGGAGCGCCGGGTGGCTAAAGCACAGCAAGTTGGCGCAGTAGGGGGCACAGGTGGTGCATCAGCCAGTTATCTCAGTCAGTCAACCTGTGGCATCTGGGTCTGCCTCGTGACCTCCTGACGGCGGGCGTTCGACATTTCACGTGGCCTCAAGGTGCACATAGCCTGACACAGGCATCGTGGTGATGTCACCGCCACTTAGTGGAGAATGGCGGTTGTTGTTGGTGAGAGGCCCCATGGACGACGACACAGTGCCGCTCCATGGCGCCCACGGCGTCCCCGCTACCGGCTACCGGTGACTACCACGCACTTGCCAATGACGCACACTACGACTACCATATTTTCCCGCATATAGCCCGCATACGCATATAGCCCGCAGACGCATATACCCTGCAAAAATAGCGTTTTGTGTAAAACTAATTTCAGATAGCCTGCACCTCCATATACCGTGCATGCATTCATATCTTTAACGTCGTTACCGCAGCTTAATTCCATCATATTACCACGAAGTTTACATTTGTAATACATTCCACAATCAATTGTTAACATTAAAATCATAACGTGCACAAATAAAACAAACTAACCGGAAATGAGTGAACTTAAAACAGTAAAAAGGTAACAAAAGTAAATATCCAATAAATAAGTAACAAATAACTGGTAGATAAGCGTACTGTTAGGCTTACCAGCATTCGACCTCATCATATGACCAGTAGTTACCCCTGTACAGTTTAGCACTGGTAGATTGCGCACTGCGCAGACAATAGCGGCACTACGGTAGCGCCATTGCCTCCCCCCCAAACCCCCACCTCTCTCTCACCCTAGCTCTCCCGTCGCCCCCACAGATCATGCTCTGCAACCACCCCCCAACCCCCCACCTCTCTCTCCCCTAGCGCTCCCGTCGCTGGTAAACAAAGTGGGCCCACTTTAAACATTGTCGTTTCATTGTACAAACAAATCGAATCATTTAAAACGTGATAACATGTGCAATTTTATTGTGAGTGGTTTATTCAGCAGGGCTTTGGTCAAAGGAAAGTGTTGCATAGTGGATAATCCTACCATGAAAAAACTTAAACGAGTTATGACGTCACACGTGTAAAATATTTTTGGGATAGCCAGCACCTCCATATACCCCGCAGGGTCTTGTTTTGTTTGTAAATAGTGGTATACTCCGTGGGTTATATGCGGGAAAATACTATGGCTACTACACTCGCATTGTGTCACTACTCACTGTGAGCACTGTCAGCACAATTTCTACAGTGTCATTACTCACCATGTGTTACGTTGAGTGTCAGACCTTGCTGTGTCAGCACTCGCACTGTGTGCCATTCATCAGTGGCACTTGTGTCAGTATTCTTTCTGTGTCTATAATGTTACTGTGTGCCATGCCTATCACTGTATCAGTACTCAC